CGACGCACAATTGGTCCAGAAAATAAAAGCTACGGGAGGATTTACGCGCGGAGATGTGAGTGTGTCGAACGCAGATGACCAACATGCTCCATTCTAGTCCTGTGCGTAATTATTCATCCAAAGTTTAAAACTCTTCTCCAACTGAATGATGTTAGGACCTCGCAAGGTGCGGATGGATATGGCCTTCTCCCTGCGTGTCTATCCAATCCTACCCAACGCCCGAGGCTAAACACACACACACACACATTCAAACACACACACACACACAAAGGTTTGGCATTAAACCTTTATTTGACATTTTCTATACGCCCGGACACGTTTGCATTCCTGCCAGATTATTAAAGGTTAAATACTCACTTTGACTCCTGTCAGAAAGAAGCTACTGGCAGAATGGAAAAGACTGGAATTGGTTTTGTTTCTTTGAAAATAAATCAGGAACATCATCCTCTCAGTATCTTTTCACTGGAGCATTGTAAATAACGTGGATCTTAAGCAAGTGGAGAAGAGAGAAGAGGAGAAGTGCTGCTGATATGAAGTCAGGAGAAAGTTCAGATCCTCAGAACATGAAACTACTGACACTTCACCTGCAGACGATCAAATGTTTAATCTCCATTAAAGTGAATGAAGTTGGGTGATATTTACATTTTTAGATGACGTCCTCGTAGAGTTAATGATTATGGATCATTTCCACTCTTGCTCTCAGCTCAGTTATTTGATGGAGATGGTTTGTGCACCTATGGTTTCTCTGGTGTTGGTTTCTTCTTGGATGCTGAAGTTTGACATTGACATAAAACTTATATATACTTAAATAAGTTGATGGTCAAACAATTAAATGAAACTGTATTCTAACTAAAAAAGCTGGTTGGAATAATGTCAGTAGCTGTTCGAGGTCGGGGGAAAAAAAGATTCACTAAAGTTCTTAATGATTTTTTTTCTTGCTTTATCGATATATTCAAATAAAGTTGCTGCATTTGCTTCTCTTTGCGTAAACAAGGTGGAAAAGGTGATACCGCTTTGATCCAGCAGAGGGCGCAGTGTATAGTCTACGTAACACTGTGTTACTTTACGTCTTACGTCAAAAAGTTTCAAGAAAAACAAAGCAAACGCCAGAAAGTTGATTATAGCAAAGACCGTCCGATGATAGGCTAAAGTGTGGATTAAGATCCTGTGTTATTTATGACACTAGCATGATGAGCAGGAACACGTAAAAATAAGACTGACGGATTTAAATACACGATTCACCTCTTTACTGTGGCCTAGTGTTAAAGAAGCAAACAAAAACACACAACAAATCTTAATATTGAGTTCCTTTACTTGTAAAATCGCGATACATATCGGATCAGCACCACGTATTGTGATAATATCGTATCAGGAGATTAACGTAAAGTCCCGACACAGTGGAAACAAGTTTTCAACTTTATTCATGTTTGATGTCATGTTGATAGAAGACGACAGTGTTTATAGTTTTATAACGTTTGTAAGTTGACAACGTGATCAGAAATTCAACCTGATGTCTCTGTTGCGTAGTTTGGAGAAAGTTTTGAGACGAAGACTGTGAGTGTAAGTTTGGAATCTGGAACAGAGTTATGGGAAAGGTGAAGATTGTTGCAGTGAAGATAGAAAATATAATATGTTGCATGACAAAGTGTGAGGAAGGCTCCTGGGAAACAAGGAGAAAGTTTTCTTTATCCGAGAAACAACATGGAGTTTATGGAAATCGTTAAAAGATAAAATGAGCCAAAAGAAAAAGTGGTTCTTCACCATGTTAGAGATCAGACACAAACTTTTTATTCAGCTCAAATGAAACAGGTGTAACGTGAGGTCCTTCATGAGCATCACACAGTTTTTATATATTTGTATAGTTTTACATTTATTAAATGGATGCTGTGTTCACGTCACACATGAGAAAATACGACAAACTCACTTCTCAGAGGTTTTAATCAAAAGAAATGACACAAACACACATGGATTCATGTTTTTCTGAACTTTAAGATGGACTGAAACTTTTGTTCGGAGACTTTCTGGACTGCCGGTTCTCCCGAGCAGGACCGAGCGGCGCGCACGGCCTCAGCTCTGTGCGCACACTGTGTCGTGGAACTCAAACTCCTGCTGCAGCCGAAGGTTTAGAGGCATGAATGACATGTGTTGGCCCCTCCTCTCCCTCGGCTGAGCTGCGCTGCTGAGTTGAAGCGCAACAGCCCCGAGAGCGCAGCAGCGACTTCACCGCTGCGACTTTGGTGAGTTGGATAAGCTCCGATATTAAGACAGAAATCCCGGAGAGACGCGGGCCGTCGGTGCCGAGTGTGTTCGAACAGTCAGAGGAGCGTGTGTGTGTGCGGAGGGGGGAGTGTGTGTGTGTGTGTGTGAGAGGGGACTACTTTATCTCTGTGTTTCTCTGTGTGTGTGTGTGTCTCCGGGCAGATGACGGCGGGTTTGGAAGCCGTCGATGAGCGCGTTTGAAGAGGCTTGCTGGTGAAGACAAGGGGGGACGAGAATCGAACCTGTGGCTCCCTCTCTGCCGGTCGTTTTAAAAAATGAAATTCCTGTAAGCATTTTTTTTTTTATTCCCACCTCTTTTTAAAAAACTAAATTTCATCCAGGTCGGTTTTCAGTGCTTGCAGTGAGGAGGTGGGGGGGCGCAGCCGCAGCTCTGCGCTCGGCTGCAGGCTGCACATTCACCCCGGCTCCCGGTGCACTTTACCTGGCGGAGCAGCACCGAGGCAACCCGCAACTTACCCGACTGTTTGCTTCCTGTTTGCAGGATCTGTGTGGTCGCGGTCGCCTTGGCTGTGAGATCTGCGCACGGGGTAAGTCCACGTTTGTTTACTATTACTGTCCTTCAGCTGAAGTGGCCTCTCCACTTTACTTACACACAGGATGCAAAGTGCAGGCGATCAAACGTGTGGGGGTTTTTTTTGTGTGTGTGTGTGTTGCACTGGGACCGAGTATTTGCTGGAGAACATGCGGGTTTTTTTTTGTGTTCCATGAATATCCTGCTGTGCGTAAACGCCTCGTGTGAATCAGCAGCTGATTTTGTGGAGAAATTACGCAGCTGGATAAAAAAGTATAAATGAAAAGAGCAGCAGCTTCTTGTTGCGCAGATGACAAAGTGTTGTGTTTGTGTGTTTGTGTGTAATGTCACATCCTGGAGCAGGTTTACTGCAGCAGTTTTTCATGCGTCACATTGTGGCCTCAGCAGCTCTCAAACTTTTTTTTTTTTTTTGTGTCACTTTTACGAAACTTTAAATGAGTTTTTTCTCTCCACCTGCACGTTTCATTTCATTTAGCATCATTTCTTCTCCAAACCATGTGCATGGTTTTCTGTTTGAAGCTGCGGCTCCTGGCTCTGTATTTAAATGTGGCCTGAGGGAGTGAAAAAAAAGCAGTTCACGTTTGACTGGCGCGCTTGCTCACATTTAATATTCAAACCCCGCCCAGCTCATGAATATGTAGGATAAAGAGATTATTGCAGCAACAAGACACGCCCATATAAATAGGTATGCATTCCCTCTGGTGGAAGTTACAGATTCTTCTCCTTTAACCCATATTTTCATTTATTCTCTTCAGTGTGTTTGAAGGTGTGTGGTAGTTTTTAAAGTGCTTTCAGTTTTTAGCTTCAGGAATCACTGGATCATTTGGTCGCAAAGCTGAAAACAAATAGGTCTTTAGTTCTAGTAATGAAGGGGGATGGAAGATTATGTACACTGTGAAAATGCACACTTCGAATAAAATTGTGACAAAACTATATTTATACAAATCAACAGGTACGAGAATGGGTCAAAATTAAGTCAACGCGGGCGTCTGTGTCTGTAGCACGTGTGTTGAATCACAGGTAACGGGTCGGGAATGGGTCGTATGTTAACCGCTCTGGATTTGACTTGGACATAGTGACCGGTTTGTACGGAGGTTTGCGGGTGAATGGACTCGTGTTAATGATTTTAACCCTTGCATTCTTCACCCACCTCCAGGGACATTCGCGGTCCTGAGCGAGTCTCTGGACTTTCGGGGGTCAGCCGTTGAAAACCTGACAGGAAACCCTGCAGATCTAGAGGAGCATGAGTAACATGCAGAGCACTGTAACCCTGGAGAGAAGACGAGCGCAGGGAGGTGACATGAGAACTGAGACACAAACTGACCATCTGTGAAGACAAGGGTCAAGTTAAACTGGGAGCAGAAGGGTCAGTTCAGCGCTACAGCCGTCCTGAATTAGAATGAGGAGAGGCAGGGGCAGTGTTGGGTGGGGTCATTCAGGTTGATGGGCGGAGGGCGACATGGCCTCTTTCTTGTTCTGCAGGGTATTAGGTGCACAAGGTTAAAAATGTTGGCTCGGACGGGGAACCCGGAGGGAATTGAACCGTTAACGCCACTGGTGTCGGTGTCGATGTCTTGCTCGAGCAGCTGAGTGACGGGGAGCATGAAAGCGAAGTTGCAGCTCCGTCAGCTTCCTGCCTCTCAACAGGACTCAGCTGACGGAGCTGCATTGACTCTGAATTGACTCCTCCACCCACTTCCACCTCCCTGTTGTTGTTGTGTGGGTGTGGGTGTGTGTGTGTGGGTGACCGGGTGGCTGAGCGGATAGATATTCGTGTGAGTGACAGACGGGTTCATTGGGTGGTCTGGGTTGTTGTCACCTTGGTAACCGTGTCTTGGATTGTGGCGTGGCAGCGGTGTGGCCTGGTGGAGTCGGTGGAGTCGGTGGAGTCGGTTGTGTGTTTTCACATCATACGGATCGTGAAGCTCGTTGACTTTGCGTGTGACTGACGACAGAGGGAACGTCTCGGCTGTACTTCACTTTATCTCCTGCAGGGAAAACTGTAGCATGCAACAAGCGTACGATGATGTTTGATTAAATTAAAATGTGATTCTTAGATACTTTCATACTGACTGCACATTTCTAATGTCACAGACCTCTATCCTTTAATTATCTCTATAAATAAAATAGAGACTAAGATGTTTTTTGATCATGAATTACCTTCTGTATTCCAAAAAGGATTTAAAACTCATGAACGACTCTCCAACTATATTCAATCACAACTCTGTTCCTTGTATTTTTAGCCTTAGCGGAGTTGAGAATAATGTTTCGGTGGAGCTTCTCCTCGGCTGACTCAGCTGTTGGCTCAGGGGAAACATCGCACACAGGTGAGGAGGAATGGTGAGGAGAGAGGGGAGGAGGGAGGAGGCGAGGGAGTCAAAATGATTCTGTACAACCGGGGCAGCTGGGAAAATCCTCCATCCATGTCGCAGACTCTTTACATTTGTTATGATGTAGCTGGAATGCAACACATGTTTGCTTAGTGCCCACCGTGACACATGAGGGCTGTCAGAGGAAGAGCAGGTTGAACTCAGATATGTTGGAAGTTTTGGAAGATAATCTTTAAGATAAGATTCTTGAAGTGCTGTGCTCTTTTAGTTTTTTTAGATTCCCTTTTCTTGTTTCCAATCTGTTTTATACAACTGATTTAAATTAATATTCTTGGAGGTTTCATTTCCAACATGAAGTCACATATTGAGCTCCTCAACTCATCCATCAATTTACCGTTCAGTTCAAATTTTCTGGATTTGGGCAAAACCGGTGTTGTTCATTGAAACAAATTCATTACAAATGCAATTTATTACTTAAACCATCGTCGTGGCCCTGGACCCAAACTCCGATCCAGAGCACGTGTACTGCGTTTGCCCTGTAGGAAGTTAAATTGGTGCCATTTGAAGTATTTCACACGTGTAACATGCGTCAAAGTTGGAACATCTTTTGAACTTTTTGATAAATGAGCATCAAGTGTAGTTAAGTCGCAAATGTCTTCTTCTCCTCTTCCTCCTCTCCTCTCCTCTTCCTCCTCTCCCCACCCCTCCCTCCCTCTGCTGAATTCCTGCCGAGCTTGGCAGGACTTGTTAGGCTGTCTCTCGTTCCCTGCAGGTGCTATAGTCTGAAACATTCCAGAAACACTAAGTGGGGCGACTGATCGGGGCTTGATTTGATTTGTGGCTGCACTGTTACCCGCTGCTTCCCCTCTTTCCTATCACTTTTTGCCCCCGCTGCTTCCACAAGTGAGCTCATTCATTACAGGCTGATTTATGGTGTTGATTTGTGAGCGGGGGTCTCCACAACCTCTTCCACCCTGATGGTGTCTCTCTCTCCAGTTCTGTCTTTGCAAAGATCGAACATTTTCACTTTAGAGACGGCGAAGGCGCCAAACTTTGATCGATTTATCGTTTCAAACAAAAAATAAGAACATTCACTGATTCTGCCGGAAAGTGAGATTGATTTTTACTTTATCACTTTTATTTCAAAAACTCTTTTTCTATTTTCAAAGCAACTGGCGGTTGTTACACGATGCTGATGCAGATTCCTTACATGCATACTTTGCCTTTGCAGATGAGAGATTTCATTAAAATGTGCCTTCAGGGATGAAAGAAGTCAAACCTCATAGAAATGTTTATTTACGCCTGAAGGTTGTAAAACCTACAGTCAAAGGCAAAAACATAATGTTAATAAGACTAACGCTTGTTTCCTATGAATAAAAGCAATATATGCACGCTGCAGTCAATAGCTTCTAACGTCTTAGTTTGAAATAAACTTTGCGGTTTTGAGTATTTCAGTTTTAAATGATGCAAACAGAAGATTGTGCTGACATTTCCATTTTCTATAGATTATATCACTCAAATCAGGATTAAAGGTTGTTCATTGTTTTTACTGTGTGAGAGAAAAACAAGTGAAAACAAAGATTGACCACATGATTGCAGAGCAGAGGAACCTGTCAAACGTCATTAAACAGGATTTATGACTTCTCCGTCGGGTAAAGAATAAAAATATTTCATGGGTGTTGAATCTCAGTGTGTTCCCGGATGTTTTTAGAGGTGGCGGCGGACTGAGCTGTGGTTTAGGGTTCGTTCCCTCAGAGGCTTTTGAGGCTGAAATCGAGAAGGAGCAGCGTTGATCTGGGTCAGGATGAGATTAGTCACGTTCATGGAAAAGTTCTGACGTTGTTTTGAAGTGCGACGGATAAAAGAAGCGTGAATCCTGAAGGAGAGAGAAGAGTGTTATGTGACCGGGACATCGCTCTGGGTCGGACTCGAAAGTTCCAGGTCGTGCGTCTTTATCTCTCGCTTCTCATTTTCTTGGAAGTTTGAATAAACCTGTATCATTTTCCCCTCCCCCTCCAGCTCCTCCCTCTGTAGTGTCCTCGGAGGCTAAAACACTTTGTCAGGAAGTGCATTAGGAAACCTATAAACCAAACATCGCATGTTTAACACGCCGCTGAAAAGCCCCCGCTGCTCCTCTCCCACGCCCACAGCTCCGCTACCTGTGTGGCGCTCGCATGTTTCCCCTCTCCCATAAAAAGCGAATGCCTCCATGTTTGTGTGTGTGTGTGTGTGTGTGTGTGTGAGCAGCACAGCGCAGGTGGGATGAAAGATTTAACTTCAGCTTGGTTTTCCTCTTGGGGAAATACCCCTCGTCAAGCTGCTTCAGGAGGGCGCACTGGCTTTAGGCCTATTTATTGCCACAGCGGCGCACACAGAGAGAGCTAATCTGAAGACAGGCATGGGGGAGTTATGCAGAAGTGAGATTGCATTTTGCATTTCACACACAGCTGGAAGACCAGAACCTGCCACAGGGAGGTTTAAACGGCTTTAGCGACCTGTTGTTATTATATTAGAGCTGGAACTATTGATTCTCGTCATGATTGATTTTTTTTCTGAAAGACCTCGATCAGTTGCTTCATTTAATGTCCAAAGTGACGCCTGGCCAACATTTGAGAAGTTGGACCCGGAGAATGTTGAGTTGCTTTATAAAGACGCTCATGAATATC